ATATAGTGTTCTCTGTGACCTCATGTAACATTATGTAACTACTAGTATTCCTGTGACCTACATACTCCAAAAATATTATCACATGTGACCCTACAGAAATCTTCTACTACAGTATGTGACCTGCATGAATACACATCAGATTGCAATGATGAATTTTATAGAAAAAAGCTCTCTCGTCGGCTGCTTTTTGACAAAAGTGCCAATGATCACCACGAAAGACTTAGAATAAAGATATGAAGCCACGGTCTGAAATTCTAACAAAATGACACCAAACTAAGAAATTATTCTTCAAACATTTATTCCCTACACAAGCTTGACAATCAAAACAAGAAACAAGAAATAAGCTGATTATAATTTTACTTTTAGTGAAAATGAAAGAAGCCAAAAGCTTAATCAAAATTTTTGGCTTTCTCAGGATGAAGATCAAAATGAAAACTATCTTCTTCTCCTTCAACCACCACCACCCCCACTTTACCATTCTACCACTTTTCTTCACTCTTAACATATAGAATTTATCTCCCCACCAACGGATCATGCTCTTCGAAGAAAACCAGCAGCCTTCTATACCCCAACTTGAATGGGGTGGACGCATTATATATGTTATAATAAACAGTCCTAGATAACACCGAGCAAATAACAGAAATTAAGAACACCAAAGATTTTTCGCCCTTAAACCCGGATGTTCACCCTAGAAAGGGCTAATCACCACGTTGAGCATCTGCCAAAGTGGTTATCGCTCTAATCCACTAGAAACCAACAAAGATTATTAGTACAAAAGTCAAAATACAGAAATCCAAACTGATTTAGTCCTCAGACCCAGTTTTCTTCTCTCGAGAACACTCAACCCCGATTGCACCAAGTAACCAAAGGTTACTGCTCAACCAAGAACAGATTCACCAAAATTATACAGCAATATACACTATACTTCACCAAGAATATCTAAAATCAATAGATTACAGACGAAAATCAAGAGTTTCAGAGAGACAGAGCAGAAATAAGAGAAAACCCTAGGCAATATCTCGAACATTCAACAAAAATGAAGAGTCAAGTAATACAAAAAGTCATAAGCATCCGATAGTTGCAACACTTCCAAATGGCTTCATCATAGCCTTTCAAAAATAATAACGAAAGTCACATTTCAGCAAAATGTGAGAATGCATAAAATGGAAAACGAAGCAGCTGGGTTGCATTCTATCAACTTGGGCTTGACTCAATATTAATTGGGTTGCATCATTGGGCCATCTAAATGGGTTACATTATTGGGTTAAAGCGTTAAGCACATAGTTTAACAATCCCCACCCTGCTTGACATCTTTGGGTTTCATTATAGATTAAGAGCATGTTTGGCAAATCTTAAAATCCAATTAAAATTGAAAATATAGCCATCATTGAGTCTCACTCGTCTAATAAAAGTCAACAATAACGACTAATTTTTCAATTTTAATCCGATTTTAATCATTACCAAACACGCCCTAAATGTTAACTCCTCATTTGATTTCATTCACTCTATGTACTTGCAAAAAACATAGTTAAGGATAACATTTAGGAGATTTAAACAATCATTAAATTTATGCAATAGAAGTATTATTGTTCCCATATCTGCTGGATTACATTTAGTTGAAACATTTTCCATTTTCATAATCTCATTTTCTAGGATATTTCTTATAAAATGAAATTTAACATCTATGTGTTTAGTGCTATTATGAAAAATAGGGTTTCTACTAAGATGTATGGAAGATTGGCTGTCAGAATATATAACAGCATTATTACCAAAAAAAACCAATCTCATCCAACAAGCTTTTCAACCATATACATTCTTTTACAGCAACTGTAGCTGCAATATATTCAGCCTCTGTTGATGACAGAGCTACTATCTTTTGCAGTCGTTGTTTCCAACTTATGCAGGTATTATTTAAAATAAAAACATATGTAGATGTCGATTTCCTATTATCACAGTTACCAGCAAAATTTGAATCAACAAAACATTTTAGTCTAATTCCAATTTTACTCCTATTGAACATTAGAACTAAGTTGGAAGTTCCTTTTAAGTATCTTAACAACCATTTCATGGCTTCCCAATGACATTCATCGGGATTACTCATAAATCTACTTAACACACTTATAGCAAAAGCAAGATCAGGTCTGGTACAGACCATTATATACATAACAGAGCCAACAACATTTGCATAAGGAACTATCTCCATCCTATTCCTTTCTATTTCAGTTTTAGAACATTGTTCTACAAAAAAATTAAAGTGACTGCCCAGAGGTAAAGTTACTTCTTTACCCTTATCCATAAAAAATTTGCATAATATTCTTGAAATGTAAGACTGTTGTGTAAGAAACCGATTACTATCATTTCTATTTCATCTAATTTCCATTCCTAGAATCCTTTTTGCTTGACCTAAATCTTTCATTTCAAATTCTTGTTTTAAGTTTTACTTAATACGGTTAATCTCAGTTAAATCACATCCAGCAAGCAACATATCATCAACATATAGCAACAAATAATAAGAATCAGGACCTCTATTTCCTTTATAATAAAAACATGGATCATTTTCACTTTTATTGAAATCAAGTCATCTTATGAAAGTATAAAATCTGATATACCACTGTCTGGGGGATTGTTTCAAACCATAAAGTGATTTTTGTAAAAGACATACAGTCTTCTTTTTCTTTTTGTTCAAAACTGTTTGGTTGAGTCATATAAATTCTCTCATCCAAATTTTCACGTAAGAAGGCATTTTTATATCTAATTGTTTTAATTCAAAATCAAATTGTGAAACAAGAAAAAGTAAAACTCTTATCGATGTATATTTGACTACATGAGATAAAATTTCATTGTAGTTAATTCTCTCTCTTTGGTTAAAGCCCTTAGGAACTAATCTGACCTTGAACCTTACATTTTCACATTTTGAATCACATTCTTTTATTTTATAGATGAATTTAAAATCAATAACCCTTCCCCTTTGGGTTTATTTACTAAGACCCAAGTCTTATTCTTAACTAGTGAAAGCATTTCATATTTCATGGCTGCAAGCTAAGAACTTGCATTTTTTTTTTCCTTCAATGGCCTCTTCATAAGAG